ATGTAGCTCAATTGGATGTCCATTAGATTTTTTTCAATATACGAAAAAAATATGTAACTAGAAAAATAAATGTGAGAAGAAACGAGGTAGAAGATGGAAATAAATGTTTGCAAATAGGGAGGTATGTAGAAGGAATAAATGGTATTTGTTGGAACACACTTTATATTACGTTAAACTAAAGTCGTGTTCATTTCTGACAGGTTTTGATAATTGCCAAACCGCCGCGGATATGAAGAGTCTCGTTGAACAACTCAAGGCGTGAAGAAAGGCATGAAACAAGACCAAGAGACTCAAGGACATGATCAAGAATTGAAGACTTAGTCGAGTCGGTTTTATTGTGATCAAAACCGACAATCAATTCAAGTCTCGGTTCTCAAAGAGTCAAAATAATTTTACAAGATCATTAAATGTTTTTATGCATAAAAAACAAACATTTTCAATAAGGTTTTTAATGTATTAAAATCCCTGATCCTTGCCCAAACCAAAACCACCTCGGTCGGCGTACGTTCGGCGTCCGGCATTCAGTGTTCGGCATTCGGTGTTCGGTTTTCAGCATCCGAATCAACTCTGTGGTTTTCAATACTTTAAACCTCGTTTTTACCTATGGGCTTATTTTAAAGGTTCCCAAACAAATATTTTAGAAAAACCACTTTTGTATTTTGGTCAATCGGTCTAACACGTGAAAAACGGTCAAAACCGCCAACACGTGACAAACGACCTCGAAGACTTTGTTTTTATCAAACAAGTGTTGGTTTCACTATTTTATACCATATACAATGTTTTTCAACCTTGGATTTTACCCTTGGGAACACTTCGTTTTTCGACCTCAGTTTTTCAAGTTGAGTTTTCGCAGGGATGGTTTTGATCAATTGATACTCGATTGTCTTATTACAACAATCGACTGTTGGCTGCTTCAGTTCATGAACTCTAGGTTCAGAACCATCCTATACTCGATTGACACAAGTGGTCACTCGACTATCTGCATTTTTCTACAAAACCAAAACTTTCAGAGAGGCTTGATAGTCGACTGACATAACTTGACAATCGACTATCCGTGTTACCGTTGCCCTCCAACGGATAGAATTTTAAATTTTTGGATACGGAATCTTTTGATACTCGATTATCAAGCTTTGAAAATCGACTATTACTTTGTGGCTTTGAAAAATTTGTCTTCATCCTATTGGGAGTTCTTGCAACGGTTACACCATGTTTTGGGCTATAAAATGGCACCCAAATCCTCTCATTTTACGCACAATTCTTCAACATTTCAATACTCTTTCATTTCATAAGCAATCTCATATTTTCTTAGCTATTTGAGAGCCAATTCTTGAAGAAATTGTCGTGTTTTTGAGCGTTTACTAGTTCACTCATATCTACTCTTTGTGAGAGTTTTATTCTTGAGTGTTTAAGTGTTTTTACACACTTGAAGGGAGGTTGTTCCCTTGTTGTAAATTCGAAGGAAGTTTTTGTTCCTTCGTGAGAAGTCTTGGAGTGCGGTATCTCCGAGCAAAAGCGTTGAGGCTCGTGTGACTCGGGTTCTCAAGTTGTATTGGTTTGTTGAGCACCTTTAACCTTAGCGGAGTTAGTGTAGCTCGAGAGTGTCTCTCGGGAGGCTGGATTACCCACACGTTGTGGTGAACTAGAATAAAATTCGGTGTGCTCCTTCCTAATGCTCTTTACTTTATTACTTTCATTTTTAAATTCCTGTGATTTTGTTTTAAACGCTAATCACCACCCCTCTAGCGTTGGGCCTATATTCTAACATTATTCACTTTCTCACCCACACAGAATCGTTGTACTATTTGTATTCTTCAACCCCTATATTGCGAAAAATTTAATGGTCATCGAATTGAGCTAAATATAAATGTTTTTCCTACCTTAAATTACAAGAAATAACACACTAGCAAACAAGACGGGCAGACGCTATTCATTGAATTGTGATCTACCCCATACTATCTATTTCCTTTGTAGCCAAAAGAACTTTGATAGGAATTGATTCTTCTGTTTTGCAAAATTTTTATGCATCCACAAGCTTACGCCAAAGAGGCCAATGTTGAAAGAATAAAAGACAGTTGTGAAACTATGGACCTAGAAATAGTTCCCAAAAATTTAAAGTGGTTGTTTTCCAATTCATCCTCTCCGCGAAACTTGTTTGCAGAAAACGCGCTACAGCTTGAATTTGATTTTTAAAAAAAATTAAAAATATACTTTTTGAATCAACACGCTTAATAATGTCACTATATGTGCGCCACATGCGGCCCATAAAGCTGCATGGATTAATGTGTCGGGCCACTAAGATAATTAGTTTACGTTAGTGAAAGCACAGGTCTAAATAAACAATGACAAAAAAACACGGAGTAATTAATGAATTTTTTTTCCAAATATCAACCTTTTGTATTTAAACGATACACAATTATAATGGCAATATTTTCCCATAGTCGTCATCACACATTCTCCAATGCAAAGTCATACTCCCTCCATCCTATGATATTCTTCCCGTTTGTGTTTATGAGGTTTGACTGACTTTATTTTCAATTCAATTTATTTGATTGTAGGTGTAAAATTAAAAAATAAAATTTATATATTTAAAAACTACATCAACAGATCTACAAAACAAGTGGTGACAAGACTATATTATTTTATCAAATACCTAATGAAAATAGGTGGAGAAAGTGATTAAAGTTTGACCGTGTGAAAGGTAACTAGAAGAACATTTTAGGACGGATGAAGTAATGTTTTTACTCTTTTCCATAAACATGAATGTTAAATCACTCATCCTCCAACCAATTGGCCTATACCCTTATCCGAAACCAAATACGCTAGGCGGAAAAAGTTACTGTTCATGGTCACCCCCTAGCTTTGTATAATAAAAGATGTGAAAAGTCTATTTTTCATCTTATTTATACTTGTGTCAAATCAAATCAAAACGAATTTTTTTGGAGGGAGGGAGTACCTCTTGTTAACCCCACAATTGACTTGGGAATGGAGGAATGTGTGGGTTAAGACCCAACATATTAAAACCAAAATGGGCAACCAATGAAACAAAAAACGTAGAGAGTCATTCAAAACCAAAATTGGCAAAAGTTGAAGTAATCTTGGTTTGTATAAAACATTGAACCTCCAACCTAAAACATTCTTCTCGATTCTATTTACGAGGTTTGATCGTTTTTATTTTCATTTTTATTTATTTGATTGTAGGTGTAAAAATAAAAAATACTCCCTCCGTCCCAATTTATAGTGCCTGTTTTGGTTTACGGTGTTTGACTGAAATTATTTTCAAATCTTTTTATATGACAAATAGTATAGAGTTAAAAAATAAAAATTACATATTAAAATACTACATCAAAAGATCTACAAAACTAGTAGTGACAATAGTACTTTATTTTATCAAATTCCTAACAAAAACAAATAAAATGAGTAAAGTTTGATCATGTGAACCGTACACATGCACTATAAATTGGGACGAAGGAATTAAAATTTATTTATTTTAATACTATATCAAAAGTTCTACAAAACAAGATTTGAAACCACTATTATTTTATCAAATAAGTAGCGAAAATAGGCAAAGAAAGTGATTAAAGTTTGACCGTGTGAATAGTAACTGAGAAAAACATTTTAAGACGGAGAGAGTAACATTTTCGTCTCATTCATGAATTAGGTTCTATTTAAATAAACGATGTCGTTTTATACCTATCTGTGTAATTTTTTTCAAAATTATTAGTGGTTTGGTTGGGCGTTCCAGGAAAATTTTGATTCCATTTTCATGTGTTTGGTGACATTAGTAGAAAAAAAAAATTTCCTACCAGAAAATGGATGATATGATTGAAGAATAATTTTTCTGTTAGTATAACGTCTACAATTCAATGAATAACGTCTATCCGTCTTGTCTCCTAGTGTGTTCTTTCTTGTAATTTAAGGTAGGATAAACATTTATATTTAGCTCAATTGGATGACCATTACATTTTTTGCAATATAAGGAAAGATATGTAACTAGAAAAATAAATGTGAGAAGAAATGAGGTAGAAGATGGAAATAAATGTTTGCAAATAGGGAGGGATGTAGAAGGAATAAATGATATTCACTTTCTTACCCACACAGGCTCACTGTACTATTTGTATTCTTCAACCCCTATATTGCAAAAAATGTAATGGTCATCCAATTGAGCTAAATATAAATGTTTATCCTCCCTTAAATTACAAGAAAGAACACACTAGCAAACAAGACGGACAGACGCTATTCATTGAATTGTGATCTGCCCCGTACTATCTACGGAGTATTTCTTTTATAGCCAAAAGAACTTTGATAGGAATTGATTCTTCTGTTTTGCAAATTTTTTATAGAAATCACTCTAAATAGGACTAAAACATAGAGAAAAGTACTAAAATATGACTTTTATGTTTTTCTTTCCGAAATAGGACTTTGCACAGTGGTAATGTGGCACTGTACATGTGCACATTACTATACTTTTTTGGTAATGTACATAACCGTGTTTGGTAATGTAAGTCTTATTTTGAGAATAGAAACATAGAAGTTCTATTTTGGTATATATTCAATATTTTATTCCTACTTCGATCTTTCTCCCAAATTTTTATGTATCCACAAGCTTACACCAAAGAGGCTAATGTTGAAAGAAGAAAAACCAGTTGTGAAGCTATGGACCTAGAAATAGTTCCCAAGAAATTTAAAGTGGTTGTTTTCCAATTCATCCTCTCTGCGAATCTTATTTGAAGAAAAATTGCTTCCACTTGAATTTTGGTTTATCCGATTCTTCTGCTGGGAGAATCTTATCAAGTTTCTTGGTTGTCATACTAGCCATTTTATTTGGCAAGTATTCTTGTGTAGGGTTCATATTTTATCCTTATGATTTTGCCAAGTTTTATTTTTTATTTTTTTCGATATGGATGCATTTGGCGAAGAGAAAATGAGTTTGATCGTGAGATGTTGGTATATGATTGTATTTCAGTCATTAGAAACAAAAATGCATACTAGATGATCCTTTAAATGAACTTTATCTTTTCTTAAATTAACATCCCAAAAAATCAAGTCAATACAATCAAACATTAAAATTTGTCCCCTGATTCCAGACAAGTTCTCCCCTACATATCAGTCTGAAGAGATCACTTTCCATGCCAGCACTGCCCATGATGCCTCCAATCCTCAGGTATAAAAAGTTATTAGCAATCCATTTCCGCGAATGTAGGCTCGCGGGCCCCAGTCATGTATGTGGGGCAGCATGCAGAAAATCCCAGTAGATCGATCAGTTTCCTGGAGGGGCTGCATCATCTGTGACTTGTGATCTGGTGATGGTCTGAGTCTACGATCCCATATGTTTGTTTTTCTTGTTTCCACCTCTCTTTTTAGAACTGCTGGTTTCAGGACCTTGTTCTTCCGCCTTCTGCTCTGCTTCAAGGATGGCCAGCTGCAGTTTGAATGTATATGTTTAGGAATTAGGACGGTACAATTCGGTAAGTCTTCTTTAGCAGTTAAGCAGGGGGGGAGTACAGTTACCTCGTCGAGAATTGGCTTGAGCTCCTTGTACCGAGATTCAGCAAGATCGAATCCATCCTTGCGCAGCTCCTGCATTTTAGTGCCCAAAAACAGCTCAGGGGTATATGTGTCCTGTTAATATAGTTAAAGGGTACCTTAATGGTTTTATGCCTTGTGTCGTTAACACCAAAAAATGTTCATGACAAAATAGCGCAATTCAGTGAACCGAAAAATGAAAAGAATTTGGAGGACAGACCTTTCCGGTGTGTTGTGTGTGTTCATATGCTGCCATTTGCCAGTAAGTGTTCGTGCGTTTGTAGAAGTCTCGCAATGACTCTCCAGCCTTCAGCACATAAAAAATGGAAATTTTTTAAAAAATTAATTAGATTCACAAGCTTGAAAAAAGGAAAAAGTAATAGTAATAACCACAAGAAATTGGTTCAACTCAAGAGAAAAATTGATAGTGGTGATCATCGTTTTAAACGAAGATCTGAAGCTGCAGGTCTGTTGCAAAATGAATTCCAAGCTATTTTCATTTAGTAGTAGTCTGTACAGGAGATATCATTTTAAAATTTGTATCCTAATGTGGCATCATGAGATATAAATTTGAAGTACCGCTGGTGTTCTCTGAGCATCAGAGAGACCAAGATGCGCCCTAATTTGTTCAATTCTGGCCCGTTTCTCCTTCCTTCTAAGACTTTTTCCTTCACCTTTCATTAGAGCAACAGCATCTCCCATGTTGATTGATATTGAACCATCAGTACCAGCCTTTGTATAGAATAAGGTCATCAGAAGAAAAACTTTCATAAAAATAAAAATAGAGCCATAGTAAACACAATGGAGTAGTTCCATAATGTGAAAGAAAGAGACCTCTGCACTGTAATCTTCACCAGAGTCATCAGCACTATCGTCTCCACTCTCCCCTTCTTCGTCATTGTCATCTTCATCTCCATCTTCATCGTCTTCATCATCAGATGCTTCGACCCACTCTGGCTCAGAAGCCTGTAAAAGTAATTTATACAAACATGCATTGATTTAACAGAGATTTTATTGCGATGCTGAATTCTCGGATTATAAACTGGATATCATCCTTTAGTGCTGGTTGTTGTATATTTGACTCGTAAGAATTCTGAGAGGGATAGAGGTCGAGTACTTGAGAAAGATGGAAGGAAAATGCAGAAATGTGTGAAAGAATAACACACCGGTATGATGCACTTCCACTCATCAAGTTTGCTCAGGTTAAGTGTATATAAATCATCAAGTGTAACTTCTCGATCCCTGACTTCCATCATGCCCCCATAGACATACAAAGTATCTCTAGCTACGGCTACACATGAATTTATGCGCCCACAAGGTTTCACAACCTGATATCACATAATCCTCAAATGGCCAAAATGAAAAGAGTAAATTTTAGGCATATCATGTCATCTAGAATGGCAAACCTCCGATGAAATTGAGCCTTGCACAGCTGATTTGGAGACAGATGCTAGAGCCTTTTCCTCAGGTCTAGGTTCCACCTTTTGTTCATCAATAGTCACATTTCTTTTCATTTTTGAAGAGATCTTATCAAGATTCCCTTCCACAGCTTCTTCATCATAAGCACAGTCCTCGTATTCATCATCAGAAACAGGATGTTCCCCATGCATGGTAGTTGGCTTACTGTCAAGGTCCATATGTTGAGATTTCTCATTGACTGTTCTTTTCAACTACAGATTAATCCGGGAAATCTTGATTACACAATCCATACCCAAATGCGGAATACTTTATACATTCTCTTTTAAAAAGTCAATTAGTGATGGGTGAAAAAATTGAAGTCACACAAGTCTTTCCAATAGAAAGCACTTTTTCTTTTTATCCAAAACTGTGATGGTGTCAGTTAAGACTTGATAGTACCTTTTCCTTTGAAGATTTTTCTTTCCTCAGCTCCAATGGATACCTGTACTTGATTGTAACATGAAAAAAGTCATTTTCATTTAATTTTTGGCTAGAAAAGCAATAGCATTATGGCCTGTTACAAACAAGGAGACTCTTAAGAAAAGGAAACAATAAACACAATGCAATAAAATAGCAACTCGAGATTAGATGGGATATAAGCGGAATTAGGCAGGCCTAAGCAGAAAACCCCTAGTCACCAAGGGCACCCTCTTGACATGGCAGGTACTAATCAGGGATAGGCAAAGAATTTTACCAGCGATGACTATCTACTTGGAAGCCATAAAGTTCATTCAAGAACAAGCTCATCATCACGTCTCCTGCATAGCCAACCAGAAGGGAAAAGTCAAAATTATATCCCCTCTGTCCCATAGGTTCTCCCCACTTTCATATTTGAGTTGTTCCAAAATTGATTTAGCATTTCCTTGTAAGGAACGAATTGTGTGGCTGATATTGTTCCATTCATTATTAAACCAACCTCATCTACACTAGACAACAAATGTGTAGAAAATTCTGGGACGGATCACGGAAGGAATCATAAGAAGTGAGGAAAAATAACTTTTATTACAACAACAACAACAACCCAGTTAAATCCCACAAGAGTAGGGTCTGGGGAGGGTGTGTGTACGCAGACCTTGCCCCTACTCGAAAGTAGAGAGGCTGTTTCCAAAGAGACCCCCGGCTCAACGTCGAAAGTTGCATTGCTTGACTAACTGCTACTTCATTAATTAAAGAAGTGCACACAGTTTAGAGATCCATTTTGATTTATTCCATCACACCCCAAAGCCAAAAAACGGTGAAATTTTGGCTCAATCGGAGAAAAAAATAACTTTTATTGAATGATAATACATACAATTGTACATGACTACATGTATAACAAATCTAGATCAACCAGGTTTGTACTCTCGTACATAATACTTATGCCCCTCAGCCCCTGCCTGGCTAACTCTTAACCTAAAACAACCAAATGTGTGCTCCCAAGTCCAAACTGAATTTCTTGACTAAACTAGAGCCAATTTTTTTCTTTGTTATGTTAAAGTTAATGGTAAAAACAAATAAATAAATTATTAGTGACAATAGGAAAATGTAGTACATATAAGTACGATTAGTGTTGGGTAGAACCCCATATGCACCACAGAAATGTAAGGGGTCCAAGTCTAGCATATAAACTTGATCAATTTGGTTGGTGGAGGGACCATCATTGAGCTTATGCCTTGGGATCGTTGATGTGCTGGCTACCAAAAAAGAACCTAAAACTTGGGAACTAATGGAGAAAACTTTACTGATATACTAATTGTTAGCATAATATTTAGTTTACACTATGTTGATTAGTAATTATTTAAAATGAGTGCTATCAACACATGAATAGAGATAACTCTTAGAGCTCTCCACCACTCCACTGAAAATTTAATATATTTTAATTAAACATTTTATAGATTTGAAATCATATTTAAGGTATTGTGGGTTTTGAATGTCTTTTCCCTGTTGGCTACATTACCCCCAATGTGTGCTCTGCTTTTCTATATGCTATCAGCTCATTTGTAATCTTGTCTTGTAAAGAGATATATAGCACCAACTTCTCAAGACACTTGTAAAGCCCTGCAAGCATCTTTTCATTTGAGTAAAAATATTCTAGAATCAAGAAATGACATGACCAGATGCATGCAATGGGTGGTGAAGTTGAACTTCTCATCTCGTATCAACTATTTCAAAGAAACAATTGTATTTTTCCTTCAACCCTCCGGAACTTGTTGATATGGCCTCATTCGATCTGTCCATAACCTCGAAAATATAACTATCACCATCAACTAAATGAAAAACTTTAAGAAGGTAACGACCTTGAGGGATTTTAAAATTCCTCTCCAAAAAGACTAAGAGAGAATATTCTTTTTTGATTGCATACCTTTTTTTGCCCATTTGTTTTTTGTCCATGCTTCTGAAGCAAAATAAAGATCTCAACTTTTTTTTGAGCGAGTGAATCCTTTCAAGGATGTGGGTGGTGTGGCAAACTGAGTAATACCGAGTCTAACTAAATTCAATCCGGTAAATTTTCTCATCAATTTTAGGGTCTGTTCCGTTCAACCTATTTTTTCATCTTATTACTTATTAAAATCAGATCACATCACATCAGACCCGATCAAATCAGAACAAGCAAACGAAACGCAACCTTACGAGACCTAATCGACCATGAATTTAACTATTCATATTCAACGCTTTTGTGTAAACTTGACCATAGATTTATGCTTCTTTGAGAGTTAATGCTAGCACAACCTCCCCTCCCATGTTGTGCCGCCGATTGGTTGTGACTTACATGTGGTTGGATTTGCATTTAAAATGGAACAGCTTGTGACTAGATATTGAGCTATCTTTTTTGTTACATTTTGAATGTTGCTACGTATTAGTTCTTACCTTTGAAGAAACTTTGAATAATATGTGCTATAGTACTGGTGTTTTTATTGGGCTGTGTGGGGCTATGTAATTTGTTTGAAAATGTTTTCTTCTCTCATGGCCCATTAAAATGGGTCACAACATGGGTGTGAATTTGAAATTTGGTGTACTCTTCCTCTAGATCAATAAACATCTATCTTTCATCCAAAAATGAGTTGAGATAAATTTGGTGCATTTTAAGGAAGTTAAACCAATGTAAAAGTAGCATAATCAGAAGAGATGATTTTTTGTAGAAACATGACTTACCTTCCATGTCCATGTCAACAACTCCTCCAAACAGTATGGCTCTCTTTTTATGGATACACATAGAGAAACCAGCACGGGGCCCAGGTGGCATTCCACTCTTTTTCACCTATATAGAGAATTTTGAATATCAAATAAATATGGAAAGAATCAATCTGGCAGAAAACTCTTGGCAATAGTAATGGAGTGTGTTTTAAAAAAATATTATTTCCATATGAAACATACTTGCTTGCTTTACAATTTTACATATAATCATGCAAAAAAAATCAACAATGAATCTATAATTGAAGTTTCCTCAGCTCGCAATTTCCGAAACACTTTCAAAGGAGTTCATTTTAATTCTAGAGAGAAGAATACTGTAACGTAGCACAAAGTAGTAAAGAAAGGTAAAGATGCCACATAGTCCTCAATGAGCCTATAATTGAATTTTTGTTTACTTATGGCTAGCATGAAATTGCTGTGTATGGGGAAGAACTTATAAATTGCATTTAGGAAGATAGTTCCAAAACTACAACGATTAATGTTCATAACCTACATAAACCATAACAAATTCTATCACATGTCAAAAGCATAGATACGTATAGATATATACATCATATAAACATTAAATTCATCCCTCTCAAAGCAAATTCTATCAATAATTTTTATCTCAACTCTTTATAGATATAAGTTATACACTTGCTTTCTCGACATTCTAAAAACTAAATATTTGCAAGGGTTTATTCACGTTCATAGTCTGCATGAGTGAGGATAGTAAAGAGTGTAGTGTTTGAGGGGAGCACGAGAAGAGGAAGACCACAAAAGAAGTGGGATGAGCTGTTGAGGATGAATTTGGCAGTTGTAAACCATTTTGGGGGCATGACTGGCTTCTAAAAACTAAATATATGCAATGATTTGTTCACGTTTGTTATGTGCATGAGTGGGGAGAGTAAAGAGTGTAGTTTTTGAGGGGAGCACGAGAAGAGGAAGACCACAAAAGAAGTGTGATGAGCAGTTGAGGATGGATTTGGCAGTCGTAAACCATTTTGAGGGCAAGACTGGATTGACCGCTATAGGACTTCTTGTAGAGATCATATTAGGGTTGTAGAGTCCTTGTAAGGGTTGTGTGCAACTGTGCAAATGCAATAAATGGTAGTTATTTTAACTTCTCACATTGTCACAGAATTTTGTGTCTCGGAGCCTCTTGAAAACAGTTCACATACTCCTTGAAATAAAGGTAAGGTCTGGGTGCATCCCTCCTCTTGAACCTTAATCTTGAGTGGGATAGACTACGTTTGTTTGGTTTGTTGGTATAAGTACATGGCTACATGCAATGCTCCTAAATTGTCCACACACAATGTGACTCAAACAAATCATAACTCTTACAGTCTTATTCAATCTTGAAGTTCCAGAAGTAATGATTGGATTCACAATATGAATAACATGAACAGAGATAAGACATCGAAACAAATAATTAGATACTACTTTAGAGAGCAACATGGAGTCATGGATGACACACATATAGCGGTTGAGGTAACAGGAATTTTGTGAAGATGACTTTGCACTAACATAAAACAATTTGGCTATGAATTTGGTCTTGCCTTAAACAACCAAAGGATATGCAGCGCTTAAAATTCAGATGCATATAATAGATAATGAAAAAAGGGGGAAATGACATAGAGCAAGAATACCAACCTTATTCCATTCCCAAGTCCTAGGATCAAGGGACCACATATCCGAATGAACAACCCCCTTTTCTGAGCCACTCTTGTCAGGTGAAATTTCCTTGGAATAGCCTCCATATAAGTATATCTGATATTTCAAAAGCAAAGAGCTAAAATGACATTATTCATGAACACAAAATTAAATTAAATTCAAAAGGGAAAAGTAACATCTTTTATACTAATCTAAGTGTAACTATGATGGTATCAGCTTTCTAAACACTCGTATGGAAGACTGGAAGAGTGGAATATGTAAAATTGGATAAATGGTGACCAGCAATTAACCAAGTCAAATCCATAAGGACCATGGGGCTTTGCACATGCTTATATGTTACTCCGTATATTTCTTTGATTGTATCATAAGTTCATAACCCCCATCAACCTATAAGAAAATTGTCACATGCTAGAATATTTTCCCTGACTACACAACACACCCCGGTCTTTTGCATATTTCCGCGAAGAATACATTTTTCATTATTGTCTTTGACTTATTATAGGCATACCTCCCTCCCCAGCACACATTGAATGTTGTGTTAGAATAGTTTCCTTACTACACTTGATTAGTTTTATACTTCCTCCATAATATTTGTCCACTTTCCTTTAATGGAAACTAAAATAGCATAAAAAGTCTATTACGCCCTCATCATTCACAATCAGCCTCCAATCTCCTTTTCATCCAAATTCATCTCTCCTCTCGGTCTCCTTCCTCTTCTGTCTTCTTCTTCCCAGTCTTCTTGTTCTTCTTCTTGCGTACATTTCCTTTTCTCTCTCCTCCATCCTATCTTCTTTTTCTTCTCTATCATCCCACTCTTCTTCTCTAATTCCCTCTCTCCCCAGTCTTCTTCTCCGATTCTTTATCTGATCTCTTCCACCCAATCTTCTTCTTCAATCGATTCTCTCTCTCCTCCTAATCTTCTTCTCTCATTCCTTCTATCCCCCGATCTTCTTCTCTAATTCTATCTCTCCTCCTTTGAGTCTCTTCTTCCAGAGATCCGAGCAATAAACCTTTCTTTTTCCATAGCTTTGATCAGCACAAGATCGGTGCTGCAAATCTCGTGACAATCTGTTGTATTTGATGGTGGATCGGAGGCTGTTACGANGGGGGGGGGGGGGCTCGGCGATGGATACACAGTGGACGCATGGATGAGGAAGGATCGAGAGGCTGGGAGCCTGGGACGGTTGAGGAATGTTGGCCAGTCTAGGGATAATTGTGTCATTTTACTCATAGCCTTGGTATGTGTGCCATATTAAAATTTAAAAGTGGACAAATATAGGAGGACGGAGGGAGTATCTATTTGCTCAAAGAAAGTACTCTGCATTTACTAGTAATCGTGCTCAAATAGGAAAAAGAACTCAAAAGCCGAAACAAAACTTTACATGGATAAAGATAGCATATTAAGGATTTTGCAGAGCAAAACTTGTATATATTCTATTGCAATATACTGCTGAATAAAACACCTCATCTAGATGAACAAACAGCTGGAAGCCACTTCGAGCACTTGGCCACATGCATCCTGGTGTACCCTTTATTTCTTGCCACTGCAGAGTAAGGGATTCAATAAATAACGAAAAAATAATGAAAGAGATCATTCCAATTTTTTAGAATAAGAAAATTGAGATTCCATTAAATTCAATACACCTTAAACTGATCCAAATCAAAGACGTGCAAATCATTGTAATACCTGCAAATTATAGGAACATTATGAAGTTTAACAAAAATATGATAACTTCTGCATATCAGTCTACAGGATACACTCTACAAAGACATACTCGCAGTTGAATAACTGGAAGTCTTGGAAATACATAACTATTTAACAACAAATCAAAAGCATTACACATTAAGGGCTGAAGAAAAGACCTCACTTCTCTAAGTGTGTCGTAGAATCCTCCAAAAACTATAATCTTGTGCTTGTATAAAACCTGAAACATTTCAAAAAATTGACACAATTACTCACACTAATACTCCATAAAATTTGGTAAAAAAACACATTTTAAATATTTCATTTCTAAGAAACCACCTCATATAACATTTTTAACAAACCACCTTAAATATACTTTCTTTCTATCAAATGACCACCTAAAACTACTTTTTCAGTGAACTTTAATTTTTGAGCGAGTTCTCCTCGCATACTTTTATAAGAAAAGTATGTAAAAAAACTATTTTTAAAATTGTCTATTTTTTTACATTCCATCTTCTTCCTATTTCTATTTTGTAATTAAGATGTTTCCACTTTTTTATTTTCTAATTACTCTTTTAAATACCCCCTCCATCCTGAATTAATCTTCACACTTTCTGTTTTGGGTTGTACCAAAATAATCTTCACGCATCTTTACTTTCTTTTAAACAAATTCCAGCCAGCATTTCTTTTTCAACATGTTTGTTAAACTCTGTGAAGTCAAAGTGTTACAATAAAATCAACATTGAGGAAGTACATTTGTTGGTATTAACGAAGAAAAAGTGGTTTAGACCCCTTCGAAAAAGTGGTTTTAGGTTGTGATCCCCCAAAAAAAACTTAGTAAATAAGGTGGTCTTTTAAAGACTAATTTATATAAAGTGGTTTCTTAAATGCTAACATATTTAAAAGGCAGGTTTTTACAAACTTTTTTGAAGACATAAAATTATAGTAATAATCATAATAATAATAATAATAATAATAATAATACAGAGTATAATAATAGGAATAGTAATAATAATAGTAATAAATTAAAATAATACTATGTAATAATAATATTATTATTATTATAAAAGGAATATCCCAAAAGAGAATGACACTTTAGAGCATAACAATAAATAACATTAAGCCAATGTTGATACTTGATTGCATACTTCTGATTTTGTTTTTCTATAAAAGTACAAGGTAATGAGCTAGTGAAAACTGAAAAGCATCATTTTCAAGAGATATAAACTCACCATCCTATGACCAGAGCGTGGACTTGGAGAACCTTTATAATTTAATTGTTCCCATTGATTTGTTTTCAAGTCCAATACCCAAAAGTCCTGCACAGACAAACAACGAATAAAAGAATTATAACGCACTATTCCAACCATAGCATGGCTAATGCATGTCTCCATATATTACAATGTATCTACTATCTACCTTGTAATGATGGAATCGCTCTTGATTGGGTGAAGTAAATTCACCACCTATGAGTACAAAGAAACAGTCATCATCTTATAATCAAATGCACAAAATGCATAAGAGATGAGCTCGTGCACATGCAAATGTCAGAATGCAAGATATAAGTACAAAGTTTAAATATTTAACAGTTTGCAAGTGTATGCTTCACCAAAAATGTAGAGGTAATTCTTCCAAGCAACCGCTTGGTGTGCGCTGCGAGGTGGCGGACTATTAGGGCTTGAGACCAATTTCCACTCTTTCTTTTCCACATCATAACGATATAGATCACCATACACAAATGTCTGCAGATACCATTTCACAAGGACTCCGGAGCATCAGTATCAACTAGAGACATCCGTGTAACAAAAATATAATATAAGTAAATCAAACCATTTTTCTTCTGGAATTACTCCAACATGTGCATATAGGGACTGTTCACTTGGACTTAATTTCAGTGTTGTTCAGTAAGATTCATTTAAGTTCACTTCCTTGTTCAGTTCAGCTTTATACCACTTAGGCCATGCGTAATGGGGGCGTGACTTCCCCATTCACGCTCGTTCATGCCAATGCACATGCCTCCTCTAGGCGTGAAAAAATCAAATTTGGTTGGGCTCGTTATCTATATCACGAGCACTTTGCTTTTTGTTTTTCTGTACAGTGATTTGCTTCTTAATTGGATGGCATCAATAACTTTAAAAAAAAATTCCACGCCTCACAGGCTCCCACATACAAATCCATTTGGTCTCTTCCATATTTATTAAAAAAATATTTAATGATTAGATAATAATTGAAGCGGGTTGAAATAGGAGTGAACCACTACATACTTTTTTTATCAAAATGAATCCGTTGATATGGCGTCCACATTGCGAAAAACGCCCCAAATGGGCATGAACCACTACACATGGTCTTAATGCCAATGCAATGCTTAAACAGATAGGTAGGATCTCAAACACAAAGCATAGAAAAAGCACTACCTTGCTTCCATTATAAAATTCGCCTCCATAGAGTATCAGTTCTGTCTCCTTTAACGGATTAATATTCAACTACAAATTCAAAAATAAAAAAAAATTAACATCAGAATCCACAGATTTTGAGTTCAGCCTCAAATTAATTTGACTATGCATACCGAACAATTAGAGCGCGGGGAAGGAGCAGGCACATTGTCTTCCACAGTAACTTCCTTTTTCTTAGCCTCCTCCTTCTGTATGCTCAACTGCTCCAACACAACGCAAATTGGTGATTTGGGAAAACCGTTTGCAATAGCTTGTAATTAATGTTAGAGTTTAGGGCACAGATTAACCTGTAAAAAGCTAGAGCTTTAAAAATGCTTGAGCTAAAACTTAAAAGCCATAGTTCCATAGCTTTTTCAGAGTAGGTTAAACGAATGACCAACGGATAGCTCCCGGAAGCATGAAAACATTTTAAAACAATGGTTTGAGGAGTAATGGAGAAGAAGGTCAAGTACCAGGATAGCATCAATGTCGTCTTCTGGAGAGAGTTTCTTCGATTCTCTTTTCGCTCTCTTTTCATCGGCTTTGGCTGTTTTCCTCTCAGTTTTCTCTTTGCCTTTCCCTGGCTTCTTCGTTTTCTTCCCCATTGTCTCTCTCTCTCTGTGCTGCGGCGGCGTCTGTCACGCGCGGGCGGCGGTGCTGCTGCAACTTGAACGGGATGAAGGGGCAGGCTCTGTTTAATTTGGGCTTTGCTAATTGCTGTTGTGAGCACTCAAAAAGGCCCAGTTAGCGAGCCAGTTTGGCCCAATGATCACCCATTGACACTTGTTGTATACTACTTGTGTAATTCAGACATCCAATCGAATTGGACTCACGATTAGGATGACAATTTCAACCCGATCATTAGATAATAGAAACATCCAATTCGATCTAATAGACAAAAATTTGAAAAGGAATGTACTCCAAAATTTGTACCACATTTGTACACCAAAGGTATGCACCAACATTTTAATGATTCAACTGACGCAAAGTGTTGGTATGTTAACAAAAATTTACACTAACACAAAGTATTGGTGCATTAACAAAAATTAGCATTACACCAACACAAAATGTTGGTGCATCCATGCGGTGTACAAAATGGGGTACAAATTCTTGGGATACAAATAACTTATCCAAAAATGATAGATAGACCCCAAATCGATCTAGGGCCTGTTTGGGAATCGCGTTAGAGATTAGTTTTAGCGTTTTGGATAAAATTTTAACGCTGCAGATTACTTTGAAAACGCTAACGCTAAACGCTGCCCGTAGATAGCCTTTTCAAAACGCTAACGCTAATCGCTAAAGCTATTCCCAAACAGGCCCCTAATGTACGAAAACTCAAAAAATAAGGATGATAGATGGATCGATAATGGATCATGTCTGAAGCGGGTGAAGAATTTTTCACTGATCACCGGATCCAACACCCGACTAGATCATGAAAAAGAAATCATCTTAAATAAGAATAAAACATAAAGAAAAATATCAAAATAAGAGTTCCATATTATCATTCTTATAATTGGAGTTTGCATTGTAATATTATGACCCTGTATATGAACATTTAATAATAAATTTTGGCATTTATGAACATTGTATATAGATATTTAGCAATAAATAAGCTAGAAAAGAACAAGTTTTAAGGGTACACCAAAGGTGTGTGTACATTACCAAACTTCTCACTTGGGGTGTTCAAAAATATCCGATCTGAAATATCCGTTCACGATCTGGGCAGATCCAATCTGAAAAATGGATATCCGATCCGATATTTTAGCTTTCGGATATTTTGGATCAGATACCCGAGAAAAATCAGATCGGATATGGATTTAGATCTGGAATTTTTTGGATAATCGGATATCCGATTTTTTTTCTCTATATGTTTAATGGAATTTTATGGATAAATATTATGGCTATATGTTTAATGCAATTTTATGTTGATTTTGGAACTCAAGCATTTTGGACTTTTTTTTACACAGAAATACTATCTTTTATATCACTCCAACCAGAATTGTTACAAACAGCAACCAAATACCTTTCTAGTCTACTACTTTTTGCAACATAACAGTTTGTAGATTAAATTTAATACTAAATAATATCTCTTCTTCCTTCATTTCTTTTTTATGAGCTTTAGCATTTCGGGCTTGCCATACAAAATAGCAGACAGCCCTCCAAGCTGCCATGGCTATCTCTCTTCGCCTTGCCCCCTGCATCTTCATTATACTCTCACCAAACGCTTTAAGATTTGCACCTTCAATCTTGTAGTTCAGCAATCCAAACACATGTGTGTAAACTCTTTGTGTGAAGTCACACTTATAGAAGAAATGTTCCATGTTCTCTTCTCCCTTATCACATAGTATACAACCAGTGTCAATGTTCATGTACTTTTTCATCCTCTCTTTTGTTTGGATTCTTCCCTTCATTATCAGCCAAAAAATAAATCTATGCTTTGGGATCCCTTGTTTAATCCAAACTCATTTATGCCAATATGGGGGGCCATGTTTATCCATCAGCCAATTATAGCCCTTCTTTGTATCAAATCCTTCATTTCTGTCCCATTCAGCAAACTCCTATCTGACCTTGATCATCCTTCTCCAGTAGTGACAGCTGTTTGGATTAGGGATGTAGTCCCAAAAGTTAGTGTTTTTCAGGTATTTGGAATGTATCCAACGTACCCATAGGACATCCTTATCATGGGGAATGTCCCAATTCAGCTTCATAATATTTGCCTTGTTCCACATGATCACATTTTTCAGCCCCAGCCCCCCTGCTCTGTTTAGCATACACACATCCTCCCATATGACTGGGGCTCTCCTGTATTCTGTTGTGCCACCCCACATGAAGTTCCTGCACATGTTGTTTATCTTTTTCAGCACTTATTAAGGAAAGATAAAGATCCTTGACCAGAATGAAATAATACCCATGAGTACAGAGTTGATCAAGCTAACTCTCCCAGCATAAGAAATGTTTTTAGACCTCCAACACGTTATGTTAGCAGCCATTTTCTCCACTAATTTATCACAATCCCTACTTGTAATTCTTGATGATGTGATTGGACTTCCTAAATAGGTGAAAGGTAACCTCCCCTTAGGCATATTTGTGATCTCGAGTTTTCTCTTTGCATCCTCCAAAAACCACTTGTGATTTTTCCTTGTTTATTCTTAGGCCAGTGCTTCTCCTGAATTTATCTAATGTATCCATAATGCTTTGGATAGATCTAGAATCAGCTTTGCTTGCAATGATCAGATCATGAGCAAATATCAAATTAATCACTTGAAGAGATGCACACATATGGTGATATCTAAAACCCCTTTCCTTAGCTTGGTGATGGAGTAGCCTGGTAAGATATTCCATGACCAAAGTAAAGAGAAGAGGAGATAGTGGGTCTCCCTGCCTCAGTCCTTTCTCCCCCTGAAAAAACCATGATTCTCTCCATTTACCATCAGTGTGTAGCTTGGTGTGGTAATGCAGAATGGAACCCATTTCATGAACTTGTCAGGGAAGTTCATCTTAACCATAATCTGCTCAACAGCTTGCCAACTAATAGAATCATATGCTTTTTGAATGTCAAGCTTTAGTAAACATCTTGGACAAATGTTCTTCTTATTGTAACCCCTAGTTAACTCTTGACACATTAACACATTATGGAGTAATTCTCTCCCCTTGACAAAAGCCCCCTAATTCCAATCAATGATCCCAGGCAATATCTTTTTCAGTCTGCTGCTCAAGATTTTAGAGATGATCTTATAGACCACATTGCAGCATGCAATAGGTCTATAATCAGCTAGGTATTTGGGGTTATCCTTCTTTGGTATGACAGTAATGCTTGTAGTATTTACTTGTTTCAGTGTTTTATTAGCATGGAAAAACTCCATAACTGCCTCTGTGACTAATCCCCCCACTTGTCCCCATTGGGATTTTGAAAAAGCCACTGTTATACTGGTAACGCCCTACAAACCGGCCTATTATCTAGCCAATATTTTGAACAAATATTATTTAATTTTATTTGAGACTCATTATTTTAAATACTAAATATTAGGATTTCGACCTCTTAAATAACTTCCAAAGTTAATGTATTTTTAATTATAAAATTAATGTATTTTAATAACAGACCTCTTAACATTAATTAATTAAATAAATTAATTAATGATGGGATGGATCCAGAAATTTGAAGATAAAGTTTTGAGAAAAATATTTTGAAGATATAATAAATTTAGTTTTGACTGTTTATTTCTGAAAATGCAATCGGTTTTCAATTCGGACAAGTTCGGGGGAAAATTGAGTACTGTTTAGGATAGATTTTACACAACAGAATGGAATTTAGTGATGTAACTCTCCAAATTAAAAAAACCATACACCACACCCATTACTCCCCCATAATTCCTCATTCATTTCCCCTTTAATTATCCTTTTATTTTCCTTCAATTTAAACCCCTTCTCTCCATTCATTTCCCTCACCACTTTGTAACCCCGAACCAATCTCCACTCTCTCCCTCTCTCCATTGCATTCGGCCAACCCACAGCAGCTCAAGGAGGGATTTCGGCGAGTAGACGAGGAGGTAGAAGACAAGGAAGTTACGTGAAAAGCCGTTCGTCCATTCATCATCGTCCGTTCGTTCACCCATTTTCCCATATCGTCAACCCCTGCGTTAGAGGTGAGTACGTTGCCCTCTAACTTTAGAATTCGTAGTCCAATCATATCGTTATATTCATAGGATTACCCGGCTAAACATATGTGTGTCCACGTTATCATGACTCTTCGTTATTGGACCTCTCGATTATGTACTCGTTAATATGAACGTTTTGAAACCTTGTAAGTTCATCTATTATTTAACATGGAAATGGAAACATTCATTTCTAAAACTTCCAACGTTTTGATGACAAACAAATAGATAAAATGGGAATCAGCGTGCCTTGATAATCGAGTTACAGGACAGTACAATCGACTATCAAGCCATGCTGGACTCCTCAGTTAATTCAGCACAGCGTGATAATCGATTATCACGTATGTGATAATCAACTATCAGGCCCTGCGGATTCTTGGGTCTGAGTTGGCTTCACTGATAATCGATTATCACATAAGCAATAATCGATTATCAGGCCTCTCTGAACTTAGGATTTCCAGGACAAACCAACTTGAAAATCGATTGTCATAAGGTGACAATCGACTATCACAGTTCGCAGAACCTTGGGAACAGAAGCTGCACAGCATGATAATCGATTATCAACAATGGATAGTCGATTATCAGTCAGTTCTGAACCCAGGGCCATCATGTTGAACAAATTGTTTTCATACGGAATCAAACATATATGTATGCGTTGAACTTAACTTCATTCTTCAATAAATGTATTCATTTCATCATGTACATCCTAGACGCATGTTTTAGGATCATGGCATATTTGCATACCGCGGCAAGAGGTCAGGCCTAGTGCGCCTCTTCCGTGGGCCCATCCAGAAACCTTCGGGATGCAACGGGTTTCACATACCGCGACAAGAGGTCAGGCCTAATGCGCCTCTTTCGTGGGCCCGTCCAAGAACCTTCGGGATCCAACGGGTTTCATCAAGAGCACTTGTGTACGTACATGGTAACTAGGCATTCAGTTACACCCACATTCTAGGCTCCTTCCGGAGACTAAGGCATTCCTCGGCTCATCTAGCGTGTGGGGATGATCACCGAAGGGCAGGGTTGTCCCTGCGTAGTCTAACTCATGCATCATGGATTATTTGGCATTGTATCACTGTTTACTCATAACCTATTATTCATCAAACTTGTA